TAGTTTCAGAAACTGAAAACCGCAGGTCTCTAGATCTTTTCGTTCCGGAGTTATAAGCGTTTTGTTCACTCATCTTCTATTTTGAAATGGATAGTAGTACTAACGTAGTGAAATCAGCTATCAGAATGACGAAATGCTCTACAACTAAAACTACCATTACATTTTAGGTAATATTCGTCGTCTCTATGTTACTCTTTCCGTATAATTCTTACATGTTCTGTAATTTCTTTTATTTCTTTGAATCTTCAGAACAACCTTTTCAACAGCTCCTTACCTGTTATCAAACAAATATAAAATGAATTTATACATAGAGAAATATAAAAAGAGAAAATAATCATCGGGCCAGTACACCGATAAGAGAAAAACGCACAAAAGTGTTTTCTCCCGTATATAACAATGCTGTGAATTATAATGTTATAATTTGCGATGAGCTGAAACCATGATCCGTCAAACAAAAAATTCATTGTAAATTTCGTATTACCAACTGCGCTGGAATAAATATCCCTCTCAGTCCTTTTCGAATATATAAGTGAAATGTACAACCCCATTTTGTCGTTTGTGCAGAAAAAACAAAAAGAAAGTCGCTTTACTGTACAGCTTTTCTAATTGTGTCAGCCGATTCTAGAAGCACTAATCATGAGAGAAATTAATTTTTCCGACAAGTTCGTGCATATTCTTGATCAATCGAAACACTCAATAACCCACCAAAACTTCACGGTCGATCGTTTCTTGCGCCTCCAATTTGAACATATTTCCTGAATTCTATTATATATCGACGAGTTCCCAAAACACGAGCATCGTGAACAAATACCCGTCAACCAACAAGTAACGAATGAATAAGGCATTCATGATCAACTACTAACTATACATGCATTGAATGAAAGGTTTTTCTATTGTAATAATCGTTAGGATTAATTCAGGTGCCAGTATGTCGGTGTGTGGGAGGTTAACAACCCCTACATCTATCAAGGCAAGTCTTCAATGCGTCAAGATATTTGAATACTCCTTATCTCATACCTGAAGAAATCCCCATGCATCTCGAAATCTGCTAACAATCCTTTTCAAATTGTCCCACACGGATATCTGATATATTTTCTCTGAATTTTGTAATGATTCTATCAATAGAATATTGGGTTTAATATTGTAGATTAATGACTTAAATAGCGAACTTCGATCGTCGAATGAAATCTTGTGAGATTATCTTTGACAAATCATTCTTTCTACTAAACTTGTGGTCCCATCCGAATCTAAGGACATTTAGTCGAATTTTGTCCGATCACAGTTCACAAATTTTCAAATGTTAAGTACAGTAGTGTTCTATATTTTTCTCTGAAAATGACCGTATGAAGAGTTGAAACGTCACGTCTTTTTTAATTTGGCTGCTGTAAATCTAAAAAGAGTTAAAGAGGTTCCAAAGGGTTCATTACAAGACCCGGATCTTCTATTGTGAATTTCACATCATTCTCGTAGAAGGGTCTTCTATTATGTGGGTGGATTTAGGCTTCGATTAATAGTTCTTATATTGAATGTTTTATAAAAGATTTTGTTATTCTTTTCATGATGAACTCAGTGTAGAAGGTAGTGTTTACTTGCGAATCTAAGAAGATGACTCAACAATTTTCAAACTTGTTACTTCAGAATTATAAGAAGCACCCTTGTATTTTCGAAGATTTCTGGGAAATCTTTTGAAAATCAGCGTATTTTCTGTTGCTTTTATGCAAAACTTTTCTTGACCTTCACAGTATAATGTAGATAAAATAGAGTATATCTTGATATTCTTATAATTCTCAAGTAAAAAATCGTATTGAGCAGGTAAAATAGAGTACATCTTGATATTGTGACATAATTTGGATGGACCTTGACTGGTTTATGAATCTTTTAATTTTATCCAAAAATATGCAAAAATGGGTTATTTCACCTAATACGTTTTCACTGGGTTTTTGCAACTGTTTTGGAAAACAAGTATTACCGCAAGGTTCGCCGTGGTCGATTACTTATATTTTCATCCGTTTTTGAGGTTAACACATCTAATGAAATATTGATCCTCAGATTTCAAGCAAATCCGACGCTACGCCTAAACCACAAAAAATTAGAGATTCGCTGATGTGTAAAACGGGCTATTACAGAGGGTAACATTCACTGTTTTTTAGAGTTAATGTAAAACCTTTGGATAAAATTAAATTTAAAAGTTTCTAAATTTTAAATTTAAAGGACTCTAAGTTTACAGTATATGCAAGGAAACTGAGGGTTGAAGATCGGATAATATTACCCCTCGTAGTCGGTCGTTGCACACAATTTTTGTACCAAACGTGTTTTTTTATCATAGACCGTTTTTGCGGCATTTTTGGTAAGGTCTTTTCAAAATACTTTTTCATTTCTCAGCAAAATGCATGAAGAAAACATTTTGTAATTCAACTTTGATCATTTTTATAACTTTTGTAACTCCATAAAGGGGAGATACTTTGGCGTGGCTCGTCCAACTGCACAGAATATCCAAATATCGGAGGTGGGGGTAGAAATGCCAAAATTTATCGCTAATAGCCTGCTGTTTTATGGTTCGCATATGAATAATATCGATAAGGTAACATTTGTCGTATGTGACGAAAACAGTCATGCTTGAACTCCAGAGGATGTATACCCATAGATATTTTCTCTAGGATCAGTTCGTTACTCACTGATGCGTTTAAAACTACTTTTTAAAAGTTAAAATATAAGAAAATTTCTCAAACAGTTGATCTGGTTATAACTTGGATTGTAGGTTATAAGTCCGGTTGATAATCGTAACTATTTCAGTTTCATTTAAACCCGAGTAGATGTATGTAAATTCATTTCAGTTTGTATTGTGTTATTGTATTGATGTACTAACTACGAGTTAGTTGATCAGAATTCGAAGAAATTTCTTCTTAATAAACAGAATAAAATATATAAATGTAGTTCATAGATAAATACTGCTTATTTAATTTAAGTGGCAATTGCTGCTTTGACCAATTTATCTGTATCATAATTCTCCTCCTCATCATTTCTATCTTGACCACTTGCTATTTGATTATCATTTAGTTCTTGTTCATCTTCGTCTAATAAACCAAGTTCAACGAATATATTTGTTATATCCCTATCTGCAGAATTCACAAAAGATGAGATAATCAACAAATCTTTATCGTCAATATTGTTTTCGCTAATTAATTCTGAGTCAGTTAACTGACATAACATTCGATGGTTCTCATTTATAAGATCATTAAACGTTTTTGTCGTTAAATCAGATAGTGGAGACAGGCATGGGTGTCACCATTTTCTTACTTTTCTAAATTTTTATACAAATCTCAACGGTCCGGATAGACAAACTTTTCTTTGAGCCATTAGAGATGTAGAGCAAACATTTTTCTACAAAATGAGACGCCAGCGAGCTCTTTAAGATGTTTTCTTATGATTTTACACGCATTTCACGACGAGCACTGTATTTGAGGCCTGTCTCTTATTGGTTTTTACCACAGTTTTGATCCATTGACCAAATGCAATAATTTTCATATGCATTGAAGCATTGAAAGTTACATCTAGTGGCATGCTTTTTTTATCTTCATCAGTTCATATTGGTACAGAAAACACTTTTAATTTTGTAAAAACGGCTGCAAAATGGGTATTATGTATGAAAAAAGACATTTTTCTACTAGTTTTGACAAATGAACCCTTTTAGTTTTGGCGTTTAAAAACTGCACATGACTCAATGGTAGCTACTCATGTCAAAAGTTGATAAAATTCTTTTCCCCTAAAAATAGACTTTTTCTAAAAAGAAAGTTAGACTAGCTCGTGGAAGGTACCACGATTGGATTTATATATGAGTTTTAGACGGTTAGGAGAAAAGAATTTTTATAAAGTTTTGACATGAGTAGCTAGCATTGAATCATGTGCAGTTTTTAAACGCAAAACTAAACAGGTTCATTTGTGAAAAGTAGAAGAAACGAGCTATGAACGAATCATAGGGGTTTGATAGTTTTCCAGAAAATTGAAAAATACGAAAATTTGTGAAAATTCACGTTCTTTTGTAACAAGAGTGACCCTCAACACAGTGTTTGCCTTCTAGTTTTTTGAAAAAGTATCTTCTGGAAGAGTTGCGGCAGGGTTAGTGGTTATTTTATATGCTCTTTCGAATTAGACGTAAATAAAAATAAAAAGTTTTCCTCCCGACGGTCTCACGGTACATAGGTCAGTTTTCTGGCTCTCTCGAGACACCCAAATCCGATGTTAAGTTCTTGAGCAACTGCCTCCCTTATGTCTCAAAAAACTCATGTGGAATACCACTTGGAAAGCCAGTTTTCAATAGAAATCATTACTACTATCCATCCCAAAATACAGGACCCGTGGGCATTTTTTGAATAACTTTTGATAGGAATGAGATAGAGGACAGCGATTTTCGCTGTTCAATAGCCAAGACTTGAGCAGAACTTTTCACAAGTGGAAGCAACTTTTGAAAAAAATTCCAGAGATCGGGTTTTCAGAGGAT